CATTAAAAACAAAAATGAAACACACACTACTTTTCAATAACATACCCAGAACCGTAAAATCTTGCGAGGAGGTGAAGTCCGATTTCGTCGATGAACACAAAGGAATTGAGACCTGGAAAATAACAAAATGGTAAACCCAATCGCAAACCTTAGGAAAAAACAAAAAAATTAAAATAGATCGCAGAACAAATGGATGAATTGCTAGGAGAACTAATGTCGAACCTTCGAGCAACGCGAACCAACTGACCCCTGCGAGATAAAGTGAGATCGGTGATGAGAACAATTGAAAAAAAAAAGAATGCGAAGAACACGGATGAAGATGCAGATGAGGGTTTACAGGCGGAGTGGACGAGATTAGGGCAGACGAGGTGTGTCGATGGGCTTTTTATACAAGAGAACGTATATATATGACCATCTCTGTAATTTTGATGACATTGAGGGCAAAATAGTCTTTTCAAGTGGCAGATTGAGGTTAAAATGGGAAGAATGAAAGGGGGATTATTTTGACCACCCAAAATGGGCGGACTAAGTTAACCGCGCATGTCAGATTCTTCCCGCGGGGCCCACATGCCAAACGCGCTCCACATCTGCAGAATCCATATCCCCACCTAGCCTAGTAAACAAATGATAAGGTTGGTTAACCAACCTTATCATATTCTAACCTCGCTAGTAAACGAGGCCTTACATAGTAATTAACCCATACCTTGAGCAAGCACAACTGGACGAAAGTGACGAGTCATAAACATAAACACTTGCAAAATTGCAAAAGCAGACTGCAGAAAAGTAAACTGCTATGATACCACACTGTAATACCCCGTTATTTTTATAAAGAAACATACCAAATGTTTTCCAAAAATCAGAGTTAAATATTCGCAAATCATTTTAAAATTGTTCAATGGCCATTACTCAATACAACTCAATTCAACAGCTTAAGCTCCAACTTAAGCCACTGGGAATAAACCATCCGAGATCAACACTTGGCATCATGATCAAAACCAGACAAGTTTAGCATGCTCGACAATAAATTAAAAACAATGCCAATATCATCAATTTCAAAGCAGAATTCATAACATACATAATATCCCTGTTTCATCATCCAAGTCATTTTCTAAAACAATCATATCAGTATAGCATAATAATGATAAAGCGAAAGCATAAACAATTCACAAGGACAAGCAATTATGACCCACTCGTTGGTCTTTTGTCGCTGCCACCAGCTCAATCTGAAGGGGGGGAAGGGGAAATAGTGAGGGTGAGCAGACCAACTAGCTCACCGTGGGAATACCATGCAGTCTATTCAATATAATGACTAAAATAATAATCACAGCATGAACACAAATCATCTAGTCTACTTCCTATAACGCCCTACGCTCATGTGATCACATCTATACCGTTGGCACAACCATTAACGAGAGCTAAACCGTCGACACAACATCAACGTGAGAACACTCTCAGACTAATAGTTCACATGCATACATTGATTATCATGCCAAGCAATTATAAAGAATAACACACATGGTAAGGTTTATCAAGTAAGGTTTATCAACACCCACCTGATCAATCTAGATAGGCGAAAACACAAAGATCAGCAGTAGGTAGAGGCTCGAATCTTCAAATACCTACATTTAAATGAGATAGTATATATCAATAATCTATTTCACTACTCGGAAATAATCAACAACCCACACTTAATCAAGTATTAAGGAATTTTATCGGATTTTTCGTAGACTTGAAATTCTCAAAGTTAAAAAGAATAACACTCGGAGAAGTGGTCACGGACCCAATTTCATGTTTTTGCTGGTTAAGGAAGGGGATGGCTATCCCTGGGGATTGTTCTTTCACTGCAGCCCTTGTCCCCGAGAAATGCATTTTTCTACTCGAGCTACATTGTACACTATTTACAACCCAACAAAAATGAAGGGTCCGCTTAAATGGAGTCTTGGGACTTCAAATATTTTTTTCTAGATTTCTCTCAATTTATAAAAATTTTTAAAATGGGTTTGACACAAAAAAATAAGCTCCTGGTACATCAAACGAGCCAAAAAGCCCAATTGGGTCGCGCTGGCCACTGGAAAAATGAGTTGCCCCACTAATGGGCCTCGCGCGGGGATTGGGTCGCACGCACAGTCTGGGCCACAACCGGGCTGGTGAAACGCGGGCTGCTGCGGGCCGAGACGCGGGCCGGTCTAAGAGGGAGCGGATTTTTGGGCTGGAAGGATTGGTGAGATGGGAAAGAAAAGAGAGGGGCCGCTGGGAACGGGCTTTTGGGCCACGCCCTGACCTTATGCGTTGGGCATACGCGAAAAGGGCAAACACAATTGAAAAAGGCCTATCGAGAAGACAAAACATGGTCTGCGGCCTAACACTTGACTGAGATGCAGAAAATTACTTCGACGACTAATTTCGACAGCGAGAACTCACGGAAACCGGTTTCAAACAATTTTCAAAAATAAAAATTCACAGTTCCCGAGTTTCAAATATATTAACAATGGTTTAGGTCGAAAAAAGAAACAACATAACAATGCTCAAACGGAACATATATACGACCGATAATACGACGACGACTCAGAAAAATGTAACGAAACTCTGAAAATTTATACAAAATAATCGCAGCACAAGCTTCGATTTTTAAACTCAAGAGTTTCAATCATCCACGATAAATTTCACGCATCCCGACAAATGAAATGAACCGACAATATATAATTCAACCAAAAAACAACATATTTCAAATTAACGTACGAAAACCAACAAAAAATCAAGAGCACTCGGAATAAAATGAAGAAGGTTCGACCGATTACCTTACTTCGGGAATCTACAAGCTCGGTTGAAAATCGGTCGAGACGAACGGAATCTCGAAAGATCGATTAACGACTCGACGACGAATGACGAAAAAATACGAAATATTGCTCTAATGAAAAGTGGCGACGGCAGGGCTGCTCGGGGATCGACGACGGCGACGGTCACGGTCGCTGGTCGGATGCTCGGACTTGCGGCGGGAATGGTGGTCGCCAGAAATAATGGTGGACGGGACTGCTGACGGGCCTGTTGTGGCTGCTCGCGGATGGCGGCTGTTGGTTGGCGGTTGCTGGCTAAAGAGGGCTCGGTGGCCGGAGATGGCAAAAGATGTTAGGAGAGACGTCGACAAAAAGAGTCTCGCCGGAAAGAATGGTGGCAGATTTTTTCCTTGTTTTTTAAATTTGAATGCAGGGCTGCTTCACAAGAGACAGAGAGAGAGTGGACAAAGAACAAGATTTCGAATGATTCTAAGGGGAAATGAACTCCTTGGCCGAGATATACGAATGTGAGAGACGAAAAGAGAGAGAGAGAGAGAGAGAAAGGGTCGATTGCAAGAGATAATGATGGGAGATTTGGTGAAGAACAGTTTGACGAATTTGAACGTACAAATAAAGAAAAATGGGCCAAGAACTAAAGTGGGCCTAGGGAAAAGAAAAGCACACATGGGCCAAGATAAATAACTCAATTTGGACCTAGATTTGCTCAATATGGACTGAAAATATATTTCCTCAAATGGGTGGATTATTATAGCTCAGAAAGCGAGAAAATACTTCACTTGAGTTGGAAAAATAAATCATTTAGGCCGAAAATTAACCCTCCAAGCTCCGGATATAAAGCACCAAAACAGGTCGAAACGGATCGAAAAATAATTCTACGCGATTGATTGAAAAATTATCCAACGACCTAACTGATAAAAGAATTAATTCTAGCTAATCCATACACATGCATAAAAATAAAATAAATAACATAATATTACAAGAATGATGAAATCAAATCATCCAAGGGAATCGCACAATAACACAAGAACAAAGTAAGTAAAATGAGCGAGGCAGTTAATAACAATCAAGAGCATGCAATAATATAATGAAATGAAAGCAATTACTAATATAAGAGCAAGCAAATAACTGAAGAACGAGATATCATATAAAACGGAAGGAATTTACATAATAAGACAAGCACATGACAATAGATAAATGGAAGAAATAATAGAATCAAAGCAAACGATAATAAGATGCAAGCAAACAAAAATATAATATACTAGAAATCACTTAAATCGAAAGGAGCGCTACAACTGCCATATGCCTGAAGCCTCGTTGTTGCCGCTCACGCACATGGTCTGTAGATCTTTGACATCGCCATAGATTTTGGAGGGTTGGCAACTCATAGGAAATCAAGTGAAATAGATAAGAAAAATAGATTTGAAAGAGAGATAGAAAATCGATTCTAGCTTAACAATTTAGTTTTGCCTTTTCGCACAGTGCAACACAAACTACGGAACTCAAATCACGCACGCAGTCGCACCATATTTTCCGGGCATGAAATCTTCCAAGACACTCCATTTTGACAGGCTAAGTAGAAAAAAAAAATATCGTCGTACGACATGGGGCTGTCAGCCTATGAAGCCCTGATATATTTGCTTGGCAGAGATTGTAGAAAGGAGGGGGGGGGAGGGGGAAGAGGGAATATTTTCGCTTGGAAAAAGCGCCACGTGTCAAGCTAACAATGTCTTTTGTTAAGGCTATGTTTAGTCTTCTTGATTTCTATATGGACGGTAATGGGTTTTTTTGTCGTGAATTCTGTAAATTCTTTTGAGTTATAAATCATACCATTTCCAAAAAAAAAAAAAAAAAAAAAAAAAAAAAACAATGTCTTTTGTTGTTGCTTTATATGTATAGGAGAGATATAGGTTTTATTTTGAGATATGGACTTAAGTGAGCCCAACTAATGTGAATCCATCTGTACAGTATTTCCATGAAAAGTCCAAGCATGTCCCAGCCCAGGCCCATTCTAACTTCAACGGCTAGTTTCAACACGCTCCCTCCCTCAACGGTCATATTCCTCGGCCATTGTTTTCCTTTCGAATTTTCTATAAAACCTTTCAGTCTTCCCATCTCTCGCTCTCTCTCTCTCTCTCTCTCTCTCTCTCTCTCTCTCTTAATTACCACCGGCGATCATAATATAATACCTAAAATCTCTCCCTCTCAATGGAAACCCCATCGTCAACGACAAGAAGAGTGACGAGATCACAGACTATGGCCGCCGCCGCCGCCGCCAGTGGCACCACCAATCTACTCCTCTCAAGTATCCCCAACCCTATCCTCAGAAACATAACCTATTCTTCCTCTATAAGATTTTATGGATAACAATCGTGTTTTTTTTTTTTGGTTCTCCAATTAACAGGGAAAACAGAAGAGGCGGAGAAGACAGGAGCGAAATTGAAGCAGCAGCAGGACCGATATGCCCTAATTGACATAACCAATGATTCGCCCATTGTCGGGCTTGCGATGGGAAGCCTACGGACCCCTTCATCGGCCATGTCCAAGAAGAAGACGGCCCGCACCCCTGGCTCGGGCGAGGCCCTTCTGAGAGGCCAGGTGAAGACCCTCTTGCAGAAGGTGGAAGAGGAGGCAGAGCTGTTCCACAACAGGCATCTCTTCAGCTCTCCTATCAACCTTGCTGCCCCCACGCCTGCAAACACCCCCCAAATACCCAACCTCTCCTCTCTCGACGAGATTGTCGTTGTCCCACAGGTTTGCTTATTTTTGTCTGCTTTGCTGAATATGTGCCTTTCTTGATAAAGAAGACAGGATAATGATATTATTCGGAATAGCATCTGTCAAAGATATATTATTGCTGCTCTATGATTTGTTCGCTTTTTTGCCTGAAAGAGAAAAAACCAGTCTTTCTTGCCTTTCCTTACAAAGAAAGAATGAAATTTTGAGATATTTGATGTCAGATAGCTGTGTGTTTCGAGATTTTTTTTCATTCTTCCCTCTGAATCAAAGTTCTTTACTGTCTTTCCTGATAAAGAAAACAACAAAATTTAGAGTAATTTGCTATTTTAGAGTTATATGATGATGTATGAGTTGATTGATGGTTAGCATTATGTGTAAAAACGCAAGTCTAGTTGATCTGATTCTCTTTCCTTATTCCTTTTTTTTTTTTGTGATAAATTTAGGTGGTGATGAGTGAGGAGAAGAAGAAACAAGAGGAGAGGGTGATTGAGGCTGAGGATGTTGTGATCACAAGGTCGCTGCTGTTGGATTTTTCCGAGAAGTCGCCGGAATCAACAGAGGGTGACGATGATGCGGCTTCAGTTTGGTCTATTGAGGTGAATGCAAGCAGCAACAGAGACAAGGATGAATGTGAAGACGAGTGCTATGACTGTGTTGAATGTGAAGAAGACGAAGAAGATGATGGTTATGGTGACAAAAATGATGATGAGCTTGATGAGCTGTGTGAGGAGTTGAGCAAGGTTAGGGTGGACGAGTCTAATGGTGGGCTCAGATTCACGGGGAAGCACATCCGGTTCGTGTATGACGATGGTGATGAGATCAAAAGGGAGGAGCAAGTGTTTGGTTGTGATGGCTTTTCTGGGGTCCTCAGGTTGAAAGGCTTGCCGACCCCCAAAGGGAAGCATATCTGGTTCCCGGATGAATCCGAAGGCAAATGAATCGAAAAAAAGAATAAAAAGCCACTTTGATTCTGAAATGAATGTCATCTCTGTCATCTTTTGGTTTTATGATTTGTGATTATTTTAATGTGATTTTGTTAATTCGTGTGATGAATCCTGTTGCTAGGATTCTTGATTTTGTTAATTCAGTAATTCTACATTCTTATATGGTCATTTGTTCTCAAGTATCTTCAGTCATTTGTTTATCTCAAGTGGTAGTGTGGCTTTTGAAATCTTTTTTTAATCATGTATGAGGGCAAGTCAGAAACTCCAATAGTAATGATATTAATTACCCATGTTGAT